AGTTGGTTTCTTGGTACAGCTATGTATTTAAGCAAGAGCTAAATCAGTAGGATGCAAGTACCTGTGATGAATGACAGGTTAGATTAAAAATTACCTAATGGTTTCTTCTGGCTTTAATCTCTCTGAACTAAATTTGTCTGAAGTTAATAGGATGGTTTGCCAAATAAAGCCCTACGTGACTCTTCCTTTTTTTTTTTTCCCCTCCCCTTAAGAGTCCCTTTAAATGTTTATATCAATTAGTTTTGTAAAAGCATTTTACCAAGACTGAATCTAAATGCGTGGCGCTGTGCCCTTTCCAAGTGTCGTGTGCAGGAAGAGCATTAACCCCTTCTTGGGAGAACTGACATATTCTTAACGTATGGAAAACCTCCCATAAATGCAAGGCAGCCTTTTAGCCTTTAAAAGCTGAATAGTACATAGTAAGCAGCACGACCAGGTTTTCTTCTTTGTCTTCCTTACACGTAGGTAGGTGCTAGGTGGTTTTGTTCTTTTTTTGTGTGGTTTTTTTTTTTTTTTTCCTCTGTGCTCATTCATTCCTCCAGCACTGCTGGCAGCCCCGATAAATCACTCTGATGTTCATTCCTCCAGCGCTGCTGGCAGCCCCGATAAATCACTCTGATGTCAATGGAAAAAATTGGTGTCTAAGCACGAGCCACGTCGCAGCCCACGTCTCCAGTGCATAACGACGTATTGGCTCGGGCTATATCACACGAGTAGCTCAGACACCCTTTGTGGAAAGCTGGTTTGTCATGGGTCTTGCAGAACTTGCTGGGTACTGGTTCATACTGGTTCCTACTGGTTCCTACTGGGTAGTGCATCAAAATTACCCGGGCAAGGGCTTGCATCCCTGGCAGTGCGTGGCTCTAGGCTAAAGGTTTTAACACATAGGGTGTCTATTTCTGCTTTATGTTGCGTTATCCCAGTTTATACCAGTATCTGTAGCACCTGGCTGGCTGTTTCCAAGCATCCAGTGGTAACAGTGGGGCACAGAGATGCTCAGGTCTTGTTTCAAATCTTCATCTCCAGCTGCTGGATGTGCACTGGCCGCCCTCTGTATTGGTGGTGTGTTGTGTGGTGACTCTCGCGTTGCTTATGAAATTTGGAAAAAAAAAGCTTTTTTCTTTTTTTTTTAATTTTTATTTTCCTCCTCATGTGTGCTGTGTGCTTAAAGTGGAATGAGCATTAGTTGAGTGACTTAACGGATGCTTGGAAAAAATACCGCCAGCTCCCTAATTCAGAGAGGTGCTTTACATGAGTCTTCTCTTGCAAACGTGCCCGCAGTTGATGTTTCTTTGAAGAGCCTGTGATGACTCTTTATCTCTAGATGGTTGAAGCACATTCCGCTCCGCCTGGATGTCAGCGGCGTGCGGCACTTCATTTTTCAAAGAGAATTTGTTAACACAAGTGTAGCCTGAGAGATGAAAGGATCCACGTTGAGCTTCGTTTGAGGCGGGCAGACACCAGACAGGAAAAGAAGGATCTCGAGAGGCATTCTCTGGTCAGTGGTGGCAGAGAAGCCTTTCTCCAAGTGAGAAAGAGCTTTCTCTTGCTGTATCTAAGACGTAAGATGAGGAGATGGACTGGGAAAACAGGGTGGGCAGCTCCACCTTGACAGCCACCGCTGTCCAGAGCACCCCTTGGTTTTTCTGCTCCCAACTGGGGGTTGCTGTGCTGCAGCCCGTGGTGTTCAGCCCCTGTCTGTCTCCGTGGAGGAGCTCTGCTGAGCAGCGGAAGGTTTCACCGAATAGTGAAAAGTGACAGCTGAACATGGAAACGGAGATATTAAACACGGCATCTCCCTCTGGGCTGTGGATGAGCTTGTCTGTCCTTTCCCATCCACGCTGATGGGCTCTTCTTCCTCCCAGCCAGCTCTCCTGGTGTGAGTCCTCTTTTGGGGCTTTTTATTTTTTTCAATCAAGCAAACTCAATGCATCCTGGCAATTGCAGGGGCTGCCAGGGCACCGGCCCTCTCCCAAGAGCAAATTAAGACTATAATCCTGGCCAAGACCTGGTAAATTAGGAAGCAGAAGTGGCAGACATGAGCCGTGGTACTTTGCAAGCAAATACTGGGTGGGATGGATCCCTTAGTGAAGTGCTAGAGTTTGGGCAGTGGGATGGAGAGAGCTCTGGAGCTGTCACCTTGGTGCCAGGATATGAAGAAGGTGGCTGAGGGCCCCTTGCCCATCTTTCCTCCTTTGTAGGAGCATGGCCCCATCCCTGGAGCACTTTAGCACCCTCCAGCAGCCCTTCATGCTGCTTTAAAAAAAAAAAATATATATATTTTTCTACTACTATCAGCATATAACCAATAAGATGGCATGTATAACAAAGTGAAACCAGCCCTGGGAGGGCACAGAGAGGGTACGATTCAGTCCCAGGGGCACCTTTGTTCTCTGTTGGGCAGAAATATTGTCAGCTCAGGCCAAGCAGAGCTCTCCGGGGAGCAGGATGCTGTTGGGATGTATCGATCTCCGGGCTGAACTCAGCACGTCCCTCCCCTGCTCGCTTGGTGCTGTGACAGCAATAATAATCATAATTCCTGTGTTACTGCAGTGCCTTCACTGAAACGGTACCCAGAAAGGAGAATGGCTTCTAGAGGAGACTCTTTGACCTGGGCTGGTTTCAGCTTGTGGTCCCTGAAGGCTGTGGATTGCTGTGAAACCAAATCAGAAAAGCTTAAACTCACTGGCTGGGGACTTGGCCCACCTCTGCGCTTGAAAATCATTTACCAAACAGAGCCACTTGCCCCAGAGTAATTAAAATGAATGTGCTTGGGGTGCGGAGAGAGGTTTGGAGCTCCTGGCTTATCTGTCCCTCTCCCAGTGAGGATGCCCAGCCCTGCTCTGTGTAAAACTTGGCTAAGAGAGTAATTAAAATGATTGTGCTTGGGGCACGGAGAGAGGTTTGGAGCTCCTGGCTTATCTGTCCCTCTCCCAGTGAGGATGCCCAGCCCTGCTCTGTGTAAAACTTGGCTAAGAGAAAGTTGGTCACCAAAGAAGCCAGTGACGAAGAGCACACTTCATGATTGGAGTTGGGAGACAATTCATATCTTCAGGTGGATTCTGACGAAGAGCACACTTCGTGATTTGGAATTGGGAGACAATTCATATCTTCAGGTGGATTTTCTTTTTTCCCCTCTTTTTGGGCTTTGTGGCATCTAACCCAGTTGCCAGCCCTCCTTGTTACCCTGAGGCTCGCAGGTATCCTGGGTTGTAGCAGAGAGCCCATTCTAACAAAACTTCAGGGACCAGAACCTGCAGGTGTCCCGGCCGTGCTGGGATCTGATCTGTGGGATGGCACGTGTTAGAGACCAGCTGGGTGGGAGCTGGACCCGAGCTTTGGTTTTGGCATTTGCCATGGCCCATGGTGTTTGTGAAATGATGCAGCCCCACGAGCTCTCCTGCCAACCTGCGCCGGGGCAGCAGCTCCTGTGCTGTCTCTGATATTTATCTTTTTCTTCTCTTTCCCCTTTCCCTTATGTTCTGTGGGTTTTTTTTCCTTTTGCTTAATGTTTATTTCAGAATTTGGACATCAGGCTGGCTGACAAACTCTGCGAATGTCACCGATGCTGGGTGTTTTAGGGGACGAGTCTGTCCCTGTGGCAGCTCCCAAAAGTCCAGCTCTGCTCAGTGAAAGGGACAGGGGACCGCTGGCTTCCCCTGGGAGAAAGACACCTTCACTGCTCTGGTTTGTCACTGCCTTCGTTAGAACAAGCCATGTCCGAGTCCAGCGTGGCTCTCTAGGCTCCTCCTCGTGTCGGTACAGATGGTGGGGCTGGTTTCAGCATATGCCTTCTCCGGAATGCAGGAATTTTTCCATGCATCTTCCTGGAGAGCCAGGACCAGGCTGGGGGGGTGATGCTGTACCTCACAGCAAGCAATGGGAATTTTTCCATGCATCTTTCTGGAGAGCCAGGACCAGGCTCAGGGGGGTGATGCTGTACCTCACAGCAAGCAAAAAAAAAGTCAGCATCCCTCCAGTGTGAGCTTCCCGGTGGTGTTTCAGGTGATGCTGTGGCTGGTGGCCCCATGTCCTTGTTTCTGGCCGAGGCTGGGTTCAGCCCCAGGGCAGGAGCTCGGCTGGGATGTTCTGGAGCCACCTTCATGTGCAATCACCATCCTGCCTTCCTCTGCTTCCAGCCGGGGCAGGAGCGTGGGGCCTCGCTCCTCCTTTTCTGGGCTGTGAACTGCAGTCCTTGGTATGCAGGGAGGAGCTGGGAGGAGTGGGAAAAGCTGCCTCTGGCAGGAGAGAGGCTTTTGTTGCACCCTCTGAAATGTCACGTTGGCGAAACCGCCGCGGGCGATGGCGGCGTTGGAGTGATTTGGTGGACGTTTGTAGCCAGAGTCCATCTCTCCCCCCAGGAACCAGACATCACGTGGCTCCCGCCTCGCGCTGGAAGCTGTCACTGTCGCTAATGTGACACAGCAGAGAGGAGATGCTGCTTCTCATTAGCATCAGGGGGTAAAGGGCATCCTCCGGAGGATTCGGTGCCGCGGCTGCTGCATCGTTAGCACAGGTGGCCAGCAGCAGCTCTTGGCCTTTCATTTGCTTTATATCCTCTAATCTTATAAGAGATCTGGATTCTTGGAATAATTGTTGGTAATGGCTAATGAGGAGTTCTCAGGCACGCGATTGCAGCATCCTTTATCCGCCTGGCAGACTCGCAGCGGTTTTTATTTGTGTTTTGCCAGCACCTGCTCACCTTGACCCGTGCTGCCTGGGGTGATGGACGAGCGCAGAGTGTGTCCTCGAGTTTAATAACTTAAAGGCTCCAAGGGCTCAGACTCTCATGTATATCGATATTTCTTTTTTCCTTAATTAGCATTTACAACGATTCCTCCCAAGCGCCTGCTCTTAAGACAGGCTCGCCGGGAAGCTGCCGTGTTTTGTTAGCCCTGGGGTGTGATTTTAAGCAAATGGCTGGTTAAAGCTGCTCCACAAGGAGAGGAGGCTGATGGCTCTTTCCTTCCTTCCTACCTTCCTTCCTTTCTCTTCCCTAGAAATTGGCAGCTGAATGCCAGAGCGCCGGCTACCCGGGGACCCTCATCCCGTACAAGTGTGACCTCTCCAACGAAGAGGAGATCCTGTCCATGTTCTCCGCCATCAAGACCCTTCATCAAGGAGTTGACGTCTGCATCAACAACGCGGGGCTGGCTCGCCCCGAGCCCCTGCTCTCGGGGAAGACAGAGGGCTGGCGGACGATGATAGATGTGAGTAGAGCCACCAGGAGGGCAGGAACTGTGCTGGGTTTTTATTTCCTCTGGCCACCAGCACTATTGTCCCCTTCTCCTTATTTCACAGAGCTGAGGACCTGCTTCCCATCTGGCTCTGACATGGCCAGGGTTTGCTGACGGGGAAGGGGAAAGACGTCATGTGGTGCTGAGCCACGTGCCTTCTCCTTGAACTATGAAAACATTCAATACCTTCAGCAGCATTTTTCCCTTAGCTCAATGGCTTTCTAAAGGGTGATGAGCCTTGTTGTGTTTGGTTTTTTTCTTCAATAAAATAGGAAATTGAACGCGAAGCACTGGCTTTTGTAGCTAATCCTGTTAGTTGTAGCAGCGGGTTGTAAAATGGGCAGATTCTTTTTGGCTTAAAGAGCTGTAATGCTTTTTGTCTTTATAGTGTAATTTTCTGCCCATAATCTGGTTAATGCCAGATGCGAACGAGGCAATTTCAGAGGCCAAACTGGGAGCTTGTGCGAATGGTCCATGCCATGCACTAGCAGCACTTCTCCCTGTGTGTTGCTCGCCCGAGGTGCTCTTCTGCCTCTTTTGGGACTTTTCCATCTCTTGTCATTATGCGATAGCCCTTTTCTGCCACAGCTGTGGGACCCCGGGCCAGTTTGCAAGCCCTTTCCATGCTCCTTTTGTACTGCCCTTCCTGCAGCTCCGGCCGGTGAGATGCTGAAACAGGAGTTTTTCACGAAGGTGATTTTCCCCTCTTTTAGTACCTAATTTGGGTGTGAAAGCGTCATCCCCAGGTAACAGGAGTCAAACTCGTGGCTTTGAGTAAACCTCGCAGCACCTCCTGCAGCTTGTGAGAGCTTGTCCTAGTGATGGGAAAGATGTGTCTCTTTGAGAAGCTGCTTGAAGCTGGAGGCTCAGGGCCACTACACCCGACAGCGGAGTCAGCCGGGATCTGATTCAGGGGCTGTGTAAAAGCAAAAGAGAGGCACACGGAGGCCTCAGACTCCTGCTGCCAGGGCAAGAGCTGCCATATCCTGGCTAATTAAGTTCTTGTTAGGATTTTGGCTGGTCTGCTGGCTGCTGTGACTGCAGCCAAAGCAAGCTCAGCTCGGCTTTGTCTGCCCGGCCGGGCTTTTGTGGGTTGCCCAGCCTGGGTCACTGCACAGCCGCATCGCCCCGTCCTCGGTTGCCATGGAGTCTTTAAAGAAAATTAAGTGAAGTGTAGCTGAGGCTGAGTTGGTGTAAAGCAGGGCAGTTCCCAGCGTTGTCTGGCTGCAAGCCTGGCCCCGTGGGTCGCCTGCTCCTTGTAGACTCCTTGTCCTGGTCGCTGCCGTCGCATCTTGTGTAGATGCCTCTGTGGATGCTGCGTGTCCCTTGTGCTCATTTCTCTTTGTTCTCCTGACCTTTTGTTCTTTGTAAGGTGGGGAGACTGGGCTGGGGGGGACACGCATGGCTTTTGCCAGCTGAAGGCCCTTCCCCTCTCCATGCTCCCTTCCCTGACTGCTCAGGTGGGAATGCTCCCTTTGTCCCACCTTCCACTAGTTTTAGGGAGCAAGATTTTGCAACGAGGATTGTCCTGTATGAGACAGTCCCGTGTTGGTCTTTACAGTGGCCTGATGTGGGGTTTGTGAGGTCCCTCTCCTTGCAGGTGCTGCTGTGGGCACCCTTTGTGGTGATGGATGGCTTCCAGATTTTGGAACGAGGATTATTCTGTATGAGACAGTCCCGTGTTGGTCTTTACAGTGGCCTGATGTGGGGTTTGTGAGGTCCCTCTCCTTGCAGGTGCTGCTGTGGGCACCCTTTGTGGTGATGGATGGGGTGGGAGAAGAGGCAAAGGGGTGACTCCACAAGGGCAGTGTCAGGAAACCTGTCAGGCTGGGGGAATATTTTATTCCCAGAGGTGATCTGTAGGGCTTTATCTGCTCTCATTTGCTTGGCAAAAATGCTGTTGTAGCACTGAGACACCCAAGCTTTCTTCATATGCTGGCAGATTTTTTTTCCTCCTGCCAGCTCCCCAGCAGCTGCTGGGTTTGCTCTTGGCTTGTGTGTAATTATCTGATTAACACTTGGACCTTTAGTGTGAAGGTGAAGCCCTGGGACCCTCCAGAACCAAATCCTTCAGCCTCAGCAGCCTGAGAAGTCTGGGTTTTGCTTTTTAGCCTGTTGGTAAGTGGTGGAAATAGCTCTGGCTTTTTCCTTTTGCTGTGTCTCCCTAGTTTTGTGCTTGGAAATGTCTCTCTCCGAGCCGTGCAGCGGGGTTTGGGGAGGGATGTGCAGTGACAGCTCTCCCCGCCGCGGCACACCAGCCCCAGGGAAACACTGGCAGGGCCCATTTCTCCTGCATGCTCTGGAGCTCTCGGAGGGTCAGGACGGGGGAAGGTTGCCAGCGCCTTTCACGGGCCACTGGGCTTTGCAGAGCTGAGCGGGAGCTTCTTCCAAAGGTCCCTTGGAGGGAGGTGTTAGCGGGCAGCGCGGTTTGAGAGATGCCGTCGGAGAGTTTCAGGGTACTTCTGGGCTGCACGGCGGGAGAAGTTTCTAAACAGCCATCCATCTATCGATTTAGGAGGCATTAAGGCCTTAAATTAAAGGCACTTTTTTCTTTTTGGTAAATTGATTTTTGTTTCCATGCATTTTTTATGAGCTCTGAGGCTCCCCTCTCCTCCCAGGCTCTCCTCTCGGTATACGTAGCCCATGAAATTTCTTGCTATACATCTAATAGTCAAAAATCATCTTACCATTTACTTATTCCTCCTCTTTTTTTTTTTTTTTTTTTTTAACGTTCTGGCTCCTTATTGTCTGATATCTGTTCTGCATCTCCCTGGGCTGCAGGAATCTCACTTTAGGAATTGCATCTCCATGGCTTTGCAGCAGCGCAGAGCCCAGCCGCCGCCAGCCGGAGAATTCGGTGGGTGCGAGGGAGGGAGCCCCTCATCTTTGGGTTCACAGCTTCCCCCTGTTTCTCCGTGCTTGTTTGTGAGGTTGTGTTTGACACGAGGCTGGAGCAAAGTCCTCCAGCCATTCCCCCCTGTCTGCAGGGGAGTAGCCGGGGCTGGGTGCTGTGTACACACTGGGATTTGAACAGCTCCTTCACGTTTTACCCACTGACCTTTAAAGCCAGGAATTCAAGCTGAACTTTCCATTTGCACTGTTCAGGGCACAAAGGACTGGCTGCAGCACACATCCTCTCCCTCCTCTAGACATTAAATGCATTTGATTCTTCTTGGCATTATTCATTGACCGGAGAGGCTCTGTTCTTCTTGCTTTTTTTTTTTTTTTTTTTAATACCATCTGTGCAGAGACATGTTTTCTCTAACCTGTGTTTTCACACGTGCTTAGGAGCCGGGGTACTCGTTTGGATGCCTTAGAAAAGGCTGATTCTGGGAAGCGAAATGCTCAGCACTTCCAGGAACAGGATCTTTTGTGTTCTCCCAACCTGGCAATTGGAACTCATTAATTACTAGAAAATGTGCCTTGGTTGTTTCTGTTGCATTAGCACACACACAGGCGGCGGTCACAGACCCACTGCCCTGCAACGGCGGAGCGCAGATGTGCCGGCTCTCTTTGCTAAGGGACCTTTGAACCTCTTGTTCTTAAAATAGGAGCAAGGCTGAAAAATGTCTTGCCCTGGATATTTGTAACAACAAGCCTTTCGATTGTTCCTCTGAGTGATGCAGCCTTAAGACTCGCTCATTTTCCAGGCGTGTTTTCAGGCTCCTGAGCGCCCGTTCCACGTTTCGCAATGGGATTTCACCCCAAAAATCCTGTGGGTGCTGTCGAGAGAAGGCAGGGAGGCAATCCCAGCTCAGCTGCCTTCCAGCCAGTTGTTTTGTTGCACCAGTCTGTCATATCGTACAGGCTCTGGACTTTCCCATGTGGCTGTTGATTAGTATCTTTGCTTTGCCAGTAGTTGTCAAAATGTTGTAATTCTACCCACGCAAGGAAGCGTCGCCCAGCGTGAGTCACAGCCTTGGAGCAGGGCTCAGGCTTTAGGCTGATGTTACCCTCTAGTGGCCTTCAGAGATGGAGTGGAGCTGGGGAGCGACTGCACCAAAGACCTGGTGGCTTCAGGGTGTCCTGGTGCAGGGAGGAAAGTGGGGATGTTGTTTGTCATGAAGGCTTTTTATATTAACAGTTGTCAAATCTCTATCTGAAAGGACTTGGTTAATAGATGAGTCTGGAGCGGGTTACTCCTCCTTTCCTTGACTTTCTTACTAGGAAATCCAGAAGCCCTGCCTGCTCCGGGCTTTGCTCCTGTGCTGAGGTGGTTGTACAGTCCCAATTCTGCTGATACATCTGCCAACTTTCTTCCTGGTGCAGCCGAGGTAAATCTTCAACCTGGTGCCAGGGAATTTATCTCCGTAGTTCCAGCTATGATGACTGAGGTATCTGGCAGTGACTGTGTGCTCAACCAAAGTGCACTTGGGTGAGGATGGTGACTCTGCTTGTTGTGTTGCTTGGGTGCTCCAAGATCAGCTACTCATGCTGGTTATCTATCGCCAAGACAAAAACCCGTAACGTGGCCTCTAGTAATGAATAGAAATAACCGAGACAAAATCAGTGACCAGAAGATTCTTCAGCTGCCCCTGCTCCTCCTTTGTGTGCTGCTCAGTAATTACATCTCTCAAACCCATCCCTTTCTGCCTCTTATTTTCTGGTCTCCGAACTAATGTTCCTTTCTTGCATGTCCTTTTGTGCCAGCAAGACCCAGTCAGCCTCCCCCATTCTTGTTTATGAGTTCCTCGGGGGTGATAACCAGCCCTCTCGTGTATCCTTCACTCCCTGTCCCCGTGGCCTTGTTCCTGCTGCTCCTCCCATTTATAGTTGCACCTGACTTCTGATTCATCAGAAATTTATTTCTTCCTGGATATTTAGCGGTGTTTTTAGGCTTGTCCAGCCTGCTCATGTAGTTCCCAAGGTCACATGCCATTAGGTAGGACCTGTCACTGAACGGTCCTCGAAACGGTTACGTCCTTTCTAGGGGGTTTCACAAACGGTTTTCTACCTTTCAGCCACTTTTTTCCAGATCTAAACCGGTATAAACTTGAGCAATGAGCACTTGTTGCAGAGATGGCTTGCTCATCAGTGTTGCACACACCTCCGGGTGCTTTGTGTTCCAGCTGGGGTGATTTCTGTATCTCCGTCTTCCTGGAAACTTTGACTCTGTGTTTTATGGTCAGCAAATGCTCGAGGCGTCTTGCCGGTGGCACATGGCAGAGGGACAGCTGAGTTTAACCGAGCCACACCGTGCTGGGAAGTGCTGGTCCAAAGAGCAAGAGCCTGGAGAGCTCTGAATCCTGTGCTAAAGGACTGGATAAATTGCAGTGTCTCTTCTTCTTTGGTTTACCCGGTGTGGGCTGAGGAGAATGGCAGCAGATAGTGTGACAGATTGGTGGCTTTCGTATCTCCAGGGTTACTTGCCCACTCTGGCCCTCCCCATGGCACGATGTGGTCTTTGCCTTCATTTGTGCCCGGGGAGCTCTTTGCTGGCCTGTTTGCAGTGCCTCTGAGCGCCTGGCGCTCTGACAGGCAATATCGGGGGATTTCCTCGTTAACTACCTGACCTAATTACCTGCTGCTGGTGTCCTATCAGCTGCCCAAACACCAGCGTGCTCAGCGCTGTACGAAACAAACAGCTTTGTCTCCTGGACAGAGCGGGGACCGTGGGGAGGTGGATTTGTTCTCCTTTCCTTTGCACCCTACCCTCACCCTTGCCCATAAAACAATTAAATCTATTTATTTCTGGCAGAAGCTGAGGGTGTCTCACTAAATTGAGTTTCTGTGCCTCTGTAACCCCTTGTCACTGCAGCCCTGAGCTTGGTCACAGCGGGATGTGCGGGATGCGAATGTGCATTTCCCTCTGTTGGCGTTTGCAGGAATTGCTGTGATTTTGGGACTGGGACCTCCACCCACAGCTTTGGGAGTGTGGGGGGCAAGGCAAGGGGTGCCAGGCAGGCCTGTGGGTCTCAGGTTCTTCTTTTCTCTTCCCTCAGGTCAACGTGATGGCTGTGAGCATCTGCACCCGAGAGGCCTACCAGTCCATGAAAGAGAGAAACATCGATGATGGGCATATTATTAACATTAACAGGTATGGGGAGGCAAGGGGGGGAATGGGGGATCAGCCACGTGTGGTTCCTCTTCCCTGCCTCGCAGAGAGGATTTAAGCACTGGAGCTTTAACCTTGGAGTAGGCTGATGGTGCCCAAGGAGGGGTTTCCCAAGGATTGTCATGGTTGATTTCTTTCAAACCACTTTTTTTAACCTGCTGGTTTAAATGCCAGAAAGACTCAACCAGGGAGAAAAGGACAATGCCAACCACTTGTGATGGTGTAAGGTTGAAGATCCAACCTAAACCATTCTAGTACTCTATGACTGAAACTTCTTGACCAGTTCCAGAAAAACAGCCATGTCCAGAGGGGCCTCTGGTGATCCACATTTCCCACGGGAGAGGGGAATTCCTCACGTAGCCACCGTGTCAGTGTCTCTTGCTGTGTTCATTACAGGGTTTGAATATCCTGTTGGTTCCTCCCTGGGACTCTCATAGAATCATAGAATGGTTAGAGTTGCGGGACTCTCATGGAATCATAGAATGGTTAGAGTTGGAAGGGACTTTAAAGATCATCAAGTTCCAACCCCCCTGCCCTGGGCAGGGACATCTCCCACCAGACCAGGTTGCTCCAAGCCCCATCCAGCCTGGCCTTGAACCCCTCCAGGGATGGGGCAGCCACAGCTTCTCTGGGCAACCTGGGCCAGGGTCTCACCACCCTCACAGGAAAGAATTTCTTTCTGGTATCTAATCTAAACCTCCCCTCTTCCAATTTAAAACTATTCCCCCTTGTCCTGTCACTGCACTCCCTGACAAAGAGTCCCTCCCCAGCTCTCCTGTAGCCCCTTCAGATATTGGAAGGCTGCTCTAAGGTCTCCCTGGAGCCTTCTCTTCTCCAGGCTGAACAACCCCAGCTCCCTCAGCCTGTCTTCTCCTTGCCTCCCATCCTCTCAGCACTTTCCTTTCTGCTCTCTCCTCAGCATGAACGGCCACAGCGTTGTGCCACAGTCGGTGGTGCATTTTTACAGTGCCACCAAGTACGCCGTCACAGCCCTCACGGAGGGGCTGAGGCAAGAGCTCAGAGAAGCAAAGACCCATATACGAGCTACAGTGAGTACCCTGAGCTCTCCTCCCCTCTCCTGCTGTTGTGGGTGGCAGAGAGCTGGCAGGCTTTATGGGACAGAGCTCTTCCCTTTGGAAAACAGGCCAGAAAACGCAAAAATAGCACTCAATACACTGGGAATGTTCAAGTCTTGTGGCCAACTGTCCCTGGGCACCTCTTTTTCCCAGGCAGGGAGAGACTGGGTGGTAGAAGGGCTGGAAGCAATGAGCTGGGATGGGGAATAAACTTTTTGGGTGCACAAAGTAGGTGGTTGCTTGTCTGGGAGCGAGGGGAGCTCATGATAGCAGAGGGAGGTGATCAGCTGGGCCGGGTGTTCTCATTCACACCTTGCACCTCACAAGTGATGTGTACAGAAGTTAACTTGTATTGCAAGCTTTTCCCTTGTTTTCTCCACTTCTCTGCCCCTTTGGGGCATGAAGAGGGAAGAACCCACCAGCGGTGGCCACAACAGCCATTAAGGCAAAGTCTGCTCTCTGAAACTGTTCCCTTAGAAAAGGATGGGGAAGGAGAACAATAGAAAAGGGGCTGGGTTTTTTTTGACTTTTTTAGTGCTAAAAAGTTGTCTTCTTTTTTTTTTTTTTTTCTTTTGCTAAAGGGGAATTACAAATCCTATTAGGATGTGCTCTGCTTTTTTCCAGTGTATATCTCCAGGACTGGTGGAAACAGGATTTGCTTTTAAACTTCATGATAATGACCCCGAGAGAGCTGCTGCAACCTATGAGAGCATTCGGGTAGGACATGGAGAAATGGAAACAGAGGGAAGTGGCTCTGATTATAGTTTAACAGTCTCTCTCCTGGCTAATATACAGGGAACTATTTCTGCAGAGTGCCCAGTACTTTCCGGGATGTAATCAGGATCCCCAAAGTCTCACCACTCAGATTTTGCACCAATATTTATGCATTATGTAGTATGCATTATGTAGATTTTCATTCAGGTTCAATTTCCCACTTCCTATATTTTTTCCTTTTATTTTGATGTTCCTGTAAATAAATATCAGTCAGCTTTGACATTTTGCAGGCTATGACGTTTTTATCAAAGGGAAGGGATAATAAGCAAACATGCCTACACAAGAAGAACAGCACATGAGAGTGTGTTGTCTTGCAGATGGTGAGCACAGGATTTCTTGTGCTTCTCTGGGAGTTTTTGATAAGGATGGCAATGTCTGACCTGGCAGAATTCCTGTGCCAGAAGTAAGAGTATTCACAACAAATGGAGACTTAACAGCATCAGACACATCCTTTGTTAAATTTTTAATGGCTTATTTTTTTTTTTCCTGCTTGCTTGCACCTTTTTGACATGCCCCAGTGACACTGTTGAAACTCGTTATTGATGGGTAGGAAAGGAGCGAGCTTGTCGTTAACTTCCTGAGGTGCCCTTGGACTGAGAACATCTTTCCTCTCTTTCCAGTGTCTCAAAGCTGAAGATATGGCTAACGCTGTCATATACGTCCTCAGTGCCCCACCTCATGTACAGGTAGGCTCTGGCTGGGTTGGAGGACTCTGCTGCGGGTGGCTGAAGGCAAAGGAGGGCAACTGCTGCCCTGACATTTGCTAATCAGTGCCTCAGCCACTGTATCAGCTGTGTGCTTAGAAGGGAGCCTGGGCTGGGGATTAGCAGTGGTCACGTTTGTTTACACATCCCTTAAGGCAGCTCTGGGATTGCGCTGCTCGGGCTGCTCCCAACCCTGTGGATCCAGGCAAAGGCTGCTCCAACCCCAGACCCAAGGACAGCACAAGGCAGGGGGAAGGGGAGAGATACAGGCACGTTCTGCTCTTTTGGATGGTGCCATCTGAGATTTGCTGATGGTCTTTGCAGCTGGGTCGGGTTCTGCCCGTTCCCAAATAACGTGTTGGACTCGATCGTGCCAAGGGCTGCGTAGCTCCTCGAGGGAGGGAGCTCAGTTAGTTAGAAGAGGCTTAGCTGAAAAGTAAAATTACTGGAGAGAAAATCGGTTCTGTTTTACCTCAAACCAGGAGGCTTGTGCTGCCAGAGAGGGACTTCCCTCCTGTGAAACAAAGAAATAAGTGACCAGCTTTGAGCTGGAGCCAGGAGGAGGCAGGAGCAGTGTCAAAGTTTAGGATACGCAACAGAAAAGTTCCTGTTGCAGAAGCAAACTTTGATCACGAGAGGTTTAGCAGCCCCTCGTGTGAACTCTGCTCCGTTGGAGCAAGACGTGGCCGTCTTGACGTTGGATCTTGTCTTAAGAGGATAAAAAGCCCTGCCCGTGGCTGATCAGGCAGCGTTTCTGCTTGACCCTCTGTGAGCAGGACCAAACTGAAGACTTGAACCATGAGAGTTTATCATCGGTGTCATCTTCCACTCTTTTCTGCGCACGTTTGTGCTTTTATCCCTTTTACTAAAAGCAGAGAATTCACATTCACCTTTATTTCTTGCTCATATCTCAGCGGAGCAGGTTCATTTCTAGCCACAGGAACTTTCTTCCTGTGCAGCTTGCCGCTGTGATGGCCCAGCGTGAAAGCACCCGGTGTGAGATTTAAAACAGACTTCAGTGCTCCAGTAAAATCCTCTGTTGGTCTCTTCTAGATCGGAGATATACAGATGAGGCCCACGGAGCAGATTTCATAGCAAACGAAGAGGACCGTGAGCAGCACCGTGTGTCCACTCCACTTCGAACCCTCTGGCAATGTAGGGTTTCGTCGGCTGGCTGGCAATGTTCTAATCAAGGACCAAGGATCATGTTCGAAGAATTCTTTTTCTCTCCCTCTCTCTGAGCTGGTGCTGGTGCTGAGCCAGTTTAAAAGGAAACAGTAGTGGGTCTCTTTCTCCCCCACTCCTTTCTGAAACTGCTTAAGAGTAAAATGTATTTGAAAATAATGCAGGGAAGTGGTTTGTGGAAGATTGTTTTCTCCAGGCTGGTTTATTCTTCCTTTTGCTTTCTTTTCAAGGTTTGTTTGATCCTATTTGCTGATGCTGTGTCTGGACATAGATGAAGTGGCACAAGATGTTTGCCAGCTTCAGTGTGCTTAGGGTTCGAGATTTTCAGTGGATGTCATACATGAATCCATCTAATTTTTGGGTTTATTTTCATCAGATTGATTACTGATGGTAATGATGCATGTGATATCTTCTACTTCTTTCATACTCCACTGCCTAAACCCAGTGTATGACCTCACCCACCTCCCCAGTCCCTCCTTTCCCATTCACATGGATTTTTGGAAGTTTGAGGAAGTATAAATGTGTGTGCTTGCTATTTCTATTTTTTTTTTTTTTTTTTTTTTTCTAGGTAGGTAGGTAAATAGTTGGAGGAAAAGTACCTGTACTTCTGCAGGTTAGAATGATCATCTAAGTGGCATAGTTACAGTAAGAGTGAGTTGTTTGGTATTTTTAATAAAAACTAAATGTGTGCTGTCTTGTGATCACCTCTATCCTTGGTATCATCTCCCAGCACTCTTGATGTTTTTGTATGTGATATTTGCATGCATTGACACTTTTCTGGAAATATTGATCGGTCTTAGAAAGATGTATGGTGCTGTTAAACGCTGGTGCTGGTGAGATGGAAATGTTGGAAGTTTGTTTATATGCAGAGATACGAACTTGGAGAGAGAGAGAGAGTGAAATGAACCGTGCTGAAGCTGTCCAAATGAAAGGATATTAGCAGGGGCATCTGCCTACGAAGTAGCAGGTAAAAAGTCTGGTTCAGATCTCGTACTGGTTCTGCGCTGGTGCAGCCCCCTTGTTTTGCTCCGGATTTATTCTAACGTGAGGGAGGAGAGAATCAGCCTCAAAGCTGATGCCTGCAGAGCTGAAGACCGCTCAAGTCGTCTCAAGGCTCTTGCAGCGTGGCAGAAACACGGTAGTCCCATCTTCCTGCGGAGCTGTGGAGCTGTTAACAGATGTCTCATTGCCTTAAGGTTGTGGATCTGCACTCCTGCTGCGCTCTGGACTTCTTGTAGCGTTTCGGAAGGTGAACGTTTGGTTTAGGTGGAGCAGGTACGGTCGGTTGGTTGGAGCAGAGGATCAGGAGCCAGAGAAGCTTGGGTTGGATTGCTTTGCTTACACCAGTACAGCCCTGTGGGAGTTCACCTGTGTTACACCACCATAAAGGAGACCAGAACTGGGCCACTACGTCATGAGTTTCAACTCCCTGTAAAGCCTTGGGCAAGTCACTTTACCTCTCTGCCTCAGTTTCCCCATCTGTAAAATGGGGGATAATAATACTTACCTACCTCACAGGGGTGTTGTGAGGACTCACAAACTTTTGTAAAGCACTTTGAATATGAGAAGCGCTATGTAAGTGCTGAGTGTTGATATGAAGTATTATTATTAATTAAATCTTGTGATACATAGAATTCCTTGTGCCAAAGGTGAGCAACTGTGGAGGGATACAAGGAGAAAAACTGGTAAAACATTCCTTCATAATGGCAAAACAAAGGCAATTTGCCCCCCTTTTTTTTCCCTCCTCTTTATAAACACATGCTCATGGTGTGTTCTGTCCATTCCTCATCTGTCACCAGTTTCTGCTGGCAGGTACGCATAGCCTCCTCTCTGGATTTGGCCTTTTAATTTGCTGTGGGTGAAATTCATCCCCCCTGGTGCAATCTGGCACTGCTGTAACATGCTGCCTGCCTGGCCGAGGTGGTGCCTTTGTGTGGGTTCGTGTCACAGAGCTGGGTTCCACCTGCAGCACTGATTTAGCTCCTGTCCCTCCAGGAGTGGCCACCCCGGGTCTGCACGTAGCCAGCAATCCTCGCTGCAGCGGAGATCCACCAGCTGGAAAACCTCTTCGGTCTCCATCCCACCATGATCCATGATTCCGAGGCAGTTGGCTGAGGAAGGTTCAAGCGCTCTGTTGCTTTTTTATAATGCCCCTGTGATGTTCAGTGAGACTCGATCCGGAAACTCCTGATATTTTCCATAACGTTCCTTTTGCAGGAGCTTGTTGAAACTCAGCAGATGCGCTGTGCGGTGTGTGCCATCCTTTTTGTTATTTTTTTAAGAGAAGATGGTAGAGCTAAGAGTTGGAGGCCAAAAGAAGAAGTTGAGAAATTAGGAACTTCTGAGCAGAAAAAGAAGAAATATAAGCAGGGGTGTGGGTAGCACTGGTGAAAACCTGAGTTGGTGGCCGCAGCTGTGTACAAAGTCAAGCAGATGTTGAAATGCTTGGCTGAGGAGGGATCTAACTTATCTCTCTGCTCTGTAAAAGGAGAGAATTGCTTAAGATGCAAGACCTTGAAAAAGGGTCAGTCTGGGCAATTGTTCCCTGCAAATACAACCTGGCTGACCTGCAGCCCTGGAAGGTTGTTTTCTTCCCCCCCTCCAAGTCTATAAAATAACCTCAAATTGATATCCAGTATATTTTTCCATTTCAAACATGGTTTTAGGGGATAATTCCTGCTGCCCGTTAACTTCCCATGTGAAGTGCTGCCTGTGTAGGGGTTACAGCAGCCGAGCGACCCGCACCAGCCTCATGTAACGTGCTGGCACCTTGTGCCACCTTCCTGGGATGAGGTGGGATTGGCAGCACGACTCCGAGGCATTTAAAAACCCCAGACAGGAGGGTGAACGTGTAATTTATCAGTAGCTTTCTAATTGTGACCTGTAAAATAAAGAATAAAGAGAGAGGCACACTGTGGTTCTTCTGTTGTGTATATAGTAGTTTTTGTGTTAAAACATAACGCCCTTCTTATTGTTCACAGCCAAACCTTTCTTTTGTGAAGAGTTCAAACAGAAACAGGCGATTTCAATTTTTTTTTGGGTTCTTTGTGAGAAAAAATGCAATTGCTTTCTAGAGTAGAATAGCATAGAGCTGTCTTGCAGAAAACCTGTGGAGGCTGGACTCGCCCGTCCTTGTTCCAGTGAAGCCACGCTACGTAGGATTTGGCTGGAATCCCCAGGTAGGCTGCTGGGCATGGCTGGGTTTGGGTGAACTCTGCAAGGGATGAGCTGCTGGTGCTACCCAGACTTGGATATCAAACTCTCCCAGTCTCTCCCACTTGCCTCAAAGCAAGACACGTTATCGTTGTCGATAACTTGAAGGCATTTTTATTTCCCAGTCCCCTTTTATGTTTGTCCAAGGGCAGAGGGCACATTCCTGAGCTCAGGTTTGCTGTCGTGGAAATACAAAGGGTTTTTTTGCAAGTAAGTAATGAATGGCTGAACGGGCTGCCATTGCTGGATTTGAGGCAGATATTTTGGATACCTTGTAAATAGGCAGAGAGCATTTGTAGAATTAAAAGCATGGGGTTTTCCTATCTTGTGCTTTTGTCATCTATAGTGAATATATCATCAGTTATGTTGAAACTGCTCTCCCTCCAGCAAACACTTTATCTGGCAGATTATGTGATCTCAGATGGTGACTAGGCCCAGCTTTGACTTTTTGGGGGGAAGGAATCCTGAGCACAGTTGGCTCTGATAAGCAGCAGGAGAAACAGGATTTTTACTTAAGACCTCTGTGTAAAAGCAATTTCAGAACATTTTTGTGGCCTGACATAGCTTGCCAGTACTTCAGGCAAACAGTACAGAAAAGGACTGAAATACTTTAGCTTCTCTCTGCAAAATCCTTTTAAAATAATACTGTGGCTTGTCCCCCCATAGCCCCCAGGGCTGTCTTTGTGTGCGGGATAAACCCCAGCAAGCCTTAAAGCTGCATGTGGGGGCTTGTCCCATTCCTATCACTGGGAATGATCCAGTTCCTTGTTTGCCTGCCCCTTCTCTAGCCATTTATGAAATTAAAAGGTGGATATAAACTAGCATGTAGTTAGAAAAGCAGCGTTTTGGTGTAAAGTTGCAGATTTGAGCCCCATGGTGGCATCAGAGCCTCTTTCTGCTGGCGTTTGGAGAAGGACATTGCAATTATGGTGCCTGGGTGGTAACTGGGGCAGGACATCACCCTCAGGATGCTCATTAGATGCTGTTTGGACCATTCCAGATGTATGTGGAGTCACTGTCCCTGGAGGTATTTAAGAAACGTGTAGATGTGGCTCTTCAGGGCATCCCCTAGTGCCTGAGATTGTTGGTTTGTGTCTCTGTGGGTGTGTGTGTTGGTTTGGGTTGGGTTGTGGGGTTGGTTTTTTTTTTTTGGTGTTGTTTTTTTTTTGTGGTTGGACTCGATGATCTCAAAGCCCCCTTCCAACCGTGAAGATTTTGTGATAACGGGTAAAAGCCGTTTTCTCCTTAATTAAGGCCCTGTCAGTGGAGGCTGGGGGGGGGGCAGCCGGGACCGCCCTCTCCCCCTCAGGGCTCTGACGGGCGGGAGCGAGGCGGGGCCCGGCGCGGTTGCGCCACCTCCGGCCGCCAGGGGGCGCTGCCGCGAGGGGCGGGACGATCCCCGTCTCCTCGGGGCGGCCGGAAGCGGCGCGGGGCGGGCGGTAGGAACGGGGAGGCGGCGGTCCCATGGGCCATTATATTACTATAATATAAGACTATTTAGTGATTTATCATGTCATCTTGTGTGGACAAAATTTCTAAATTTCTTATAGAAATATTAAATATGAGAAATTATAATCATAGAATCAGAGAGTGGTAGGGGTTGGAAGGGACCTTCAGAGATCATCTAGTCTAATGTCGAGTTACGATATTTTATACAGAATATATTATAAAAGTTAAGAATTCCTCTCAAGAAATGTCAGGATGAACACAAAACAAAACTTTTTTTTCTTGTTTTACATTAATAGAATTTCATTTTCAAAATTAACAGGAAAATGAAAGGATAAGTTATTCATCATTTCCTTCATACCAGTGAATTAGTAAAAACACTCTGGAGCTTTCTGAACAGTGTTTTTGTTCATTAGGATTTGAATTACTGCAACACGTTGCATATATTAACGTTTTCTGATGTAAAACTGCAGCATTTATCATTGATTAGTATAGCATATGACAAAAAGCTCTTGTATTTCCAGTTAATGCTGGCACAGAAAGACTACTAACGCAACATGTTGTCCTTCAGATCTTAGAGTTTCTTTAGGAGTGACTTTGGCCGTTCAGACTCCAGAGTTTGTCTTACCCAGGTCTGTTGTCCAAGGCCATAGAGCTCATAGGTGTTGTTCTGTGAATAGGTTAAAGTATGCATGGAATGGATGCAGTTTGGGAAAAAAAAAAGTTTCAACAAGTTGAAATTCTTGAAGTTGAGTTAAATTCTTGATCCATGTTTTCTTTTTTTTTCTTTTTTTTTTTTTGGGACTGAGCTAGAGAGCTGAATTTGGCTCACTGCTGATTTGCTTTGCTTTCCTCAGGGAGCATGGTATTCCAGGCTGGTGAGGAACCTCCCTGTGTACTTTTTGGTTTAACCCATTTTGTTTCAGTTTTCTGTTTGTGCAAAAAACTGCTACAACCTAGTTCTAGGTTAATTTTTGAGCCCTCCTAGTCTCCATAAGGAAAATATATCCATATAGCGAGTGAGATCCGTGGTGGACTGCTTGGAATTGGGTGGCAGAGGCAAGAGAAAGAAATACAGAAATTAAAATTCTCCTGTATTTCCTTTTTTTTGCTGTCATGTGACGCTTTTCCTTTTTGATTTTCCTTGCAGCTGCCCCTTGACTCCCACAGTGAGCAAAGCGAGCTCTGGAGCTATGGAAGTCTTCGATGTCTACAGCACAGAAGAGATCTGAATTTGGCTCACTGCTGCTTTGCTTTGTGCTCCTCAGGGAGCATGATACTCCAGGCTGGTAAGGAACCTCCCTGGGTACTTTTTTGTTTTAACCCATTTTGCGTTTCAGTTTTCTGTTTGTGCAAAAAACTGCTACAACCTAGTTCTAGGTTAATTTTTGAGCCCTCCTAGTCTCCATAAGGAAAATATATCCATATAGCGAGTGAGATCCGTGGTGGACTGCTTGGAATTGGGTGGCAGAGGCAAGAGAAAGAAATACAGAAATTAAAATTCTCCTGTATTTCCTTTTTTTTGCTGTCATGTGACGCTTTTCCTTTTTGATTTTCCTTGCAGCTGCCCCTTGACTCCCACAGTGAGCAAAGCGAGCTCTGGAGCTATGGAAGTCTTCGATGTCTACAGCACAGATGATCTCCGGAGCTTTTTGAAGGTAGAATAATCCGTGTTTTCTTTTTTTTATTTTTTCATTTTCCTTTCAGGAAACCTGAAATATCGCATGTATTCAATAGAGAGGAGGTACAGGAAAAACGCTCAGTTATTTGCAGTGTTTGGTGCTCCTGCTCTGTGTTCCTGTTTGCCGCCGGTGCTCTGTGCTGTTGGACCACCTCTTTGGGGTGTGCACCCCCAGTCCCATTCCATGGGGTGGGGTGACAGGTCTGAGTTGTGGGTCCTTTTTGGAAGGCGGTGAAGGCAGGAGAACACTGTGTCCCGTACTCAGGCTGTGAGCTTGGTGAGGATGGCCTCTGTCTCTCTTTCTTTCTCTCTCCATGAGGACTGAAGCCAGAGCTGCTCCTGCAGCAGGTCTTGCCTGGCGTGTGGTGGAGGCAGCATCCCAGGGCCCAGGCACACGATGGCAGCATTGGGCAGCCTTTGGAGCAGGGGAGAGGAGAAACCAGGGCTGGTGTGAGCTGCTGGGAATCTTTTTACTCTCCACTTATGCAGTGAGCTGAGATAGGGGCCCTTTGCAGAATGTGCTGCAAAAGGAAAGGGAGCGCGCGTGGAGAAACGTGGTTTAAACTGAAACAAACCCAGGGATGTTGCTTTGAATTGGCAGAGTTCATCCATCCCCTTGTGATAGCGCTGTATGACTGCCCTGATCCCTTGTGGAAGGTCCCCTGTGCCCTGGCTGGGCTGGGAACCAGCTGAATATTGTGTGTGTGGGCAAGCAGGGAGCTGCAGGCTCTCATCTGCCCTGCTCTGTTCCTGTGGGGTCCCTGGGTGAGCAGTGGGGTTGGAGGGTTCAGCACAGGGGGGGAGGGCAGAGGGGAATGGAGGCACCCGGTCTGGGGTCACTGTGTGCCTGTGTCCCTTTGAGGAAAAGCTTGTCACAGTCTGGGGTGACCACGAGGAGGGCGAGCGGAGGTAAGAGCCTGGACACTTCCCACTTGGTGTGCTAGAAAACCCTTGTCCAGCTGTACAATAGGTCTGTGGCAGCTGGAGCTCTGGATAACAGTGAAATGAAAGTCGCATAAAATATATTGATATTTAATTGAAACAGCTGGTAGAATCACTTTGTTACTGTAAAGCCTGAATTATTAACATTTTGAGCCATTGCAGCAGTTCATTTAATTGGACCCGGATTCACTGGCCTAACCCTTGGCATTGCCTGGCTGGTGTAAATTTGATATAAAGTAATGTAGAAAGTGCCAGTTTCACAGGAAATGAAGCTGGCAAGGAGCAGCAGTTCTTTTATTGTTAAAATGGATTTCCAAGACAAATAATTAAGGCTCTTTTTACTAGGGTGCGGGAGGGAAGGCTCGTTCTCTGGTTGTGCGAGGCACTGAGTGCTGAGTGCCCTGCCTTTTGTATGAGCTGATTTTTGGCACCGGTGTTTGAAAACGTTACTGTGGGCTTCTGGTGGCTGAGCCTGCACTTGAGACCTTCTACTGCATTGCTCTGTGGATTAGCCTTATGTTAATTTGCTTAACACTACTCTTTTTGTATCCTTTCCTGGCAAAAACCTTCCCAGAACCGTTGTATGGGCAAAATAAAAACCTTTTCAGTTGCTGTTTGTTTGCTTGCTGAACTGGAATAAACATCAGAAAGAAAATTACTTTTTTTTTTTTTTTTCCTTCTTCTAAAATCAAGGTTTGTGTGCTGGTACTGGGAGGACTTTGGTGGTAAAAATTCAAGGAATGCCAGAAAACCCCAGAAAAGCCCGTCAGTTTAACAGAAAATGTTAAAAAAAAAGAGAAGTGTGTTTACAGACATGACTTACTTTCTTTTTAAGCTTGAAAAGTAGTCAATTTTTTAACATTTTCTTTTTCCTTTCCCTTTCTAGGCTAAAACCGCAGAAGGCTGGGAAGTGGTGGGAACTGTCAGCACACCTGAGGATGTGGAAAATGTTCCTGTCATCAGTTGCTTGGAATTTCAGTGGAATAAACCCGTCATTATAGTAATAGGTATTTCAATTTCCAGAGCTTTGGGCTTGGTGGAAGGGCAGGTGTGTGAGGGAAGGGTGGAAGGGTCAGGGTGATGTTTCATTCCCAAGCTGGTTGCAGGTGTGTTACGTTACATCAAGCTTTGGTCTGGAAAAGAAAAGCTGAGCAAGAAGTACTAGAATGATCTGGCTGCAAATAGGGACCCAGAAGAAGAGGGGGAGACGAGAAGCCTCCCAGTAGGACCTGTCAAGAATAAACAGGGAGTTTAGGAGCTGCAGAGGGTCTAGGTGGCAGTGGCCAGTGGCAGGACAGGTCTGGGTCAGTGCAGCCACAGCGAGTTGTTTTGCATTGTGTTCTGCGGCCCTTTTGATCCTGTCCTAGAGCCCTGGACCTGGATTTTCTGTGTTGGTGCACCACAAACCTCTGTGAGAGACCCAGGAGGTACGTGTTTGCTCTTGCTGTGCTGAGGCTGCCAGGACGAGCTGTGCCGTGTCTTTGATCCGTCATGTTTTCTCTTAAAAGAACAGGAAGAAATCTCTGTGCTCAGGTCTGGAAAGAAGCATGAGGAGCGCTTGCTGGGGATGGTCTGAACACAAAGCTGGGCTTTGTAGCACAGAGACCACCACGGAGGCCAGTCAGTGGCTGCTTCTGTTGGCCTAGGAGAAGGCAGGGGCTGTTGGCTGCTGCAGGATCAGCAGGAGGAGCAGATGGAACCTCCTCCCACCAGAGCTGTGCGCTCTTTGAGCAATGAGTGCCACTTTCCTGAGCACCTAAACTAGGTGATTCTTCCAGGGCCCTCTCTACTTCTCCCCCCTCTCTCTGGAGGGGACACTTGCAGAGGATGCTGTCTTTTTTAGGCAGAGTTTGGGGCTCTGGAGCCTCCCAGAAGGTGAAGAAGGGGGAAGGGAGTAACAGCCTCGTGGTAGCTAGAGAAAGAAATTCACCTGCTCTAGGCACCTGTCTGTGGCCATGGTCTAGCCCCTCACTTTGTGTCACCTGTCACAAGAGCTGGTTTGAGCTTTTACACTTGGAAGTAGTGTCATGCTGGCGATGAGCCATCAAGGGGCTGTAATCCTGCCCCCGTGCTGCGGTTTTCTTGGCTCAGAAGACATTCCTTTAATTAAAATGTTTATTGAACTCCTAGAAATACTGACAAGACAACACCGCAAATCTGGCATCTCTACAAGATGTGTGGAGCTATATTATAAAGGGAGTAGGGAGGCTGGCAGCCCTGCTGATGGACCACAAAGAAATGCATCCCAGAAACGACGACAACACCAGGAGGAAGGAAGGGGGTGAAAGTGGCAGTGGTGTCGTTACCTTGAATTATGAGAGATTTCTCCAGGAAAAAGTCCAAATATCCTTTTGTCAAGGGAGATTGGAGGCTGATTGGTAGATGCATGAGGAGAGCTCCCGGACCTTGCAGCAGTAATGATTTCAACTCTCTGCTGAGCACTAACTCTTCGCTGAAAAGAAAATTGAACATTACAGTCATCCGATGCTGAGGTTGTTTGAAGAAACGTCCTAGATCTGAATATGTAGCGTACCTGCAGCCGCAACCAGAGAGCAGCAGAGATAATTTAGCATGGTAGTGAGCTTTCTAGCATTGCAGAGATTGTCTTGTAAGTTAAGCATTTGCAGAACTTCAATTCACCCTCCTGGCATCCTCCTGGGCTCGGCAGAGAGGGATTTGGACAGTCCAGGTTAATGTTGTCTGCACCAGAGTCACTGCTGAAGGTGATGGGCAGCCTGGCTGCCCCGAGGGCTGGGAGCCTTGTGTGGACAGGAACAGATTGGGAGCACTGAGATGTCTGAGCAAGAAGAGTTTCTGCGTAATTTGTTCTTCTTACACATTCAGCCTTTAGCTTGGCCTTTAAGGCTGTTCATGGAATCGGTGGTTTTACTGAGCTGCTCATTTTATACACTTCTCTGAACTGCCAGCACGGCAGCTCCAGCCTGGATTTGAACTTCCTTCACTGGAAACTGCAGTTGCTACAGTGGTGTTTATTGTAAACGGGGCAGGAAACCTGTTTTATCGTTTCAGCCGAGCTCTAATTCTGGTCTTTGAGGCCTGTCAGTGCAGGGAAAAAGTTAAGAGATGGAAGTCAAAGATGGGAAGTGGGAAGTGTTTTGTTCACCAGTATAAATTAGGATTTATTCTGATTCAGTCAATACTCCCTCCCTCGTGTCGCACTCTGTGCAAGTCTTTTTGCCCTGAATTTATGGTTCCTAATTATTTTAAGCAGCCAGAGCCATAAAAAGCTTTGTAAAAGCTGGAAGCAAAATTGCTGCCTTTATTAGGAATCGTAAGACCCTTATGAGGGAGAGGAGAGGATTGCTCCAGGAGCCATCGTACCTCTGGCGATAGCTGCTGTCCCAGTTGGAGAGTCCCACGAGAGTGTGGTTTGAAGAGGCTCAGGAGACAAATATGGCTGCAAATTGTAAAACTTTTCTGTGTTGAATCAGGAAAAAGTAGGATAATTTTATTTTTTTCTTGAAGCATCCCTAGAGAGCCATGGTCTAGTGACAAAGAGGCAGGTCGGGCCGTGGGAGGCCTGGATCTGATTCCTTGTGTCGCCCAGGCTTCCCCTGTGACTTTGGATACCTCACCTGGGTCTTGTCTGCACTTCTGGCTTTAAAAAAGAAGGAAGAAAAGAATGGTTAGGATGGGATTTTGGTTCTCTGGTTCCCCAGCCAAAGGATGCTTTTGCCAGTGTGGCTTATTTCCTGGGGGAAGGCGATGCAAAGTGCATTACCCAGAGCAATCTTTCGCTTGCCAGTTACATCAGGCCAGCAAAAGATGAGACTGGGCCTCAGCTTCCAGGGAATTGCCTCTAATTCCAGGGAATTATTCCAAAGGGACTAACAGCACTGCGCTGTGTGGTTGGAGGGGTGTTGCACAGATCAATCCACAGGGACAGGGCACGGGACCTGCTGTAAGTAGACAACAGGGGAAGAATTTTTGTGGCATCTCAGCCCAGCAAAGAGCTCGTTGAACCTTGTGGAGGGATGAGTCTCCAGTGGCATAGGCAGTGCCTGAAGTGCCCCTGTAGGCTGGTAAAACTTCAGGTAAGGGTCTAAATTTAGGTAAGCTTGAGCAAGGCCTCCACAACAGCACTGGTCGTGCAGGCAGAGGTGCAGTAGCAACGTTTGCTCCCTTAGAGCCACCCCGGGACGAGTCTGGGATCAGGGTATGGCTGCTGAAGGGGAACATTTCGTTTCCAGCAACCTGAGCCTGTTTTATCAAAGGGTGAGCACGTTTTAGGAATGAGCTGGGTGTTCTCGCAGCCGTGTAGCTGTCTCTGTAGCTCTAAATAATGAATCTGGAAGAATTCTTTGGGGAGCTGAGCCGGCTGGGAGGTCTGTGGTCTTCTGCATTTTCACTTGTCTGCACGCAGGATTGTTTAAAGCCTCTCCCTTTCCATTTCCCTTTGTGACAGTGTGAGTCAAACAACTACTAATGACCTGGGATAGATTTCAACTCTGTTTCACCAGTGTATCAGCCCAAACATATCAGGGCTGTTGGATGGTTTAACAACTAATCAATTGAAGCCTCTGGTTAAACTGTCTGCATTCACAAGTTGCACCCAGCTGGTGGTACTGTGTGCTGCAAAGGCTGAACCCGTCACTATCAATAGGGATGTGGGATTTGCTGGACCAGATCAGCAAATGTGGCCTCTTCTCTGCCTTGTCCCTTTGGTCATGGCCCGCGTATGTGGGCAGATGTCCACTGGCCTGGTGGCTGCTTGTGCAGGGGATTGTTGCACTCAGGCTACAAGGCTCTGTGCCTGCAGGTGTGTTGCACAGGTATTCCTCAAAACCACTTCAGATACTGGAGAAGAGATCTGGGGAGACTGGAGTGGGCCAGGTAAGGTGCCCATCTCACCTCTGGTAGCTCTTGCTGCACAGGAGCTGGTGAGGTTAGGGGCTGGGTGTAGTTGTGACAGAGAATTAGCAAGAACTGTATTTGGGAGGGGAAAAAGGGATGTGGCAGTGGTTGTGAGGTGACCTGAGCAGTGTCTTTGTTCTGCAGGTAGTGAAGGTGATGGACTTTCCCTGGAGACACAGCTCTTGTGCCATCGGATGCTGGCCATACCCCCTGGCAGAGCGCTTCACCCCGGCATCGAGTCACTGAACGTCTCCGTTGCTACTGGTAAAGACAGTTCTGATGCACAACGGCATTGTAGTCCAAATTCTTGTATTCAAAAATCACGCGACCATCCAGGCCTGAAGAATAATTTTCTTGTGG